GAGAAATGGGACACCAAGGCTCTTTTGATATATAGAAGCAGTTTATTGTTTTTGTGAGACAGGATCTCACTATGTAGCCTTGGTTGGCCTGGAACTCATTTTGTAAACCAAGCTGGCCCCAAACACAGAGAGATTCTCCTGCCTCTGCTTCCTGAGTGCTGAGATTAAAGGCACCCACCAGCATTCCTGGGGCTTTGATTAAGGTGTTTGTTACCCAAAACCCTAAAAGTGACTGAAGCCAGGCGATGGTGGCTCAAGCCTTTAATCCCAGCACTTGGGAGGCAGAGGCAGATGGATCTCTGTGAGTTTGAGGCCAGCCTGGTCTACAGAGTGAGTTCCAGGACAGCCAGGACTGTTACACAGAGAAACCCTGTCTGGGGGGGACGGGACAAAAAACCTGAAACTGGATATGACACCCAGCTGAATCTCTAAATCCACCTGGGATTTTCATGCTACTTCACTTCAATGTGTCAATATGACCATGTTGTACCCATTTCGAGAAATGCCCAGAGACCACCAAGGAGCCGATTTCTGGAGCAAGCACATAGGGGTCTTTTGTTTGTTTGGTTTTTTCGAGACAGGGTTTCTATATGTAGCTTTGAGCCTTTCCTGGGACTCACTTGGTAGTCCAGGCTGGCCTTGAACTCACAGAGATCCGCCTGCCTCTGCCTCCCGAGTGCTGGGATTAAAGGCGTGCGCCACCAACGCCAGCTGGTAGAGTTTTTATAGGGAAAAATCATAAACTGGGAATTACATGCTTTGGCAAATTGGGATTGGTTAGAAGGGATATGGGGCAAGGTGATTTTTTGAAACTATTGGTCTAGACTTTCTGCTCGAAACCGTATTTGAAACTATTGGATTGGACTTTTTGGCGGGAAACTACAACTTGCTGAGCATGTTTATCTGGGCTGCTCAGCAGGATTATCTAGATATCTTCAAGGGCCATAAACCGCAGACAGGATGTCTGCAGGAAGATACTGCTCTGTATCCGTTTGAGTTGTCATGGCACATTCCTGAGGTCTTTCCTGGAACTGAGTACAGCAGGTGGTTTGAGATGGTGGCCCTCCTCTAACATGGAGTCTGTTTTGCCTTCATAGACTGCACCTAGTTAAAAAAGGGTCCTACTTTAGTACCCTGTAAGCTCCTCTGGCAAATAAGGATCAGGGTTTGAGTCTTTTTTTTTTTAATCTCAACCAGCTCGTGTTGTCATATTGGAATGGTATCCAGTTTTCCTCCTCTGCTACAGCTTTTGTGGTGACCCAGCTTTGGGTTTGTCCAGCTGAAACAATTCCCTTTGAGTCTAGTCTCTTGTCAGCCTAGGTTAAGGTTGGTCACTTTCTCTTTTCAGACAATCCTGTTTGGGGTTTATTGATTTTATTATTCTCACCCCCATTTCATTTCTGCTCCAGTTTTGACTATTTCCTTCCTTCTGCAGCTTTGATTTATTGTTTGTCTTCTTTGAAGTGTGAAGTTAGGTTATTGGTTTGAGATCTTTTTGTTTTTCTCTCGAGACAGGGTTTCTCTGTGTAGCTTTGCGCCTTTCCTGGAGCTCACTTGGTAGCCCAGGCTGGCCTTGAACTCACAGAAATCTGCCTGGCTCTGCCTCCTGAGTGCTGGGATTAAAGGCGTGCGCCTCCACCGCCTGGCCAAAAAATTTTAATTATTTATTGCGTATGTGCTGTTGTTTTTGTTGCTAAGGACATGAGGATTTTTGTTTGTATTGTGTAGGTGTTCTATCTGCATGTATGTCTACGCACCACATCCATGTAGTGCCTACAGAGGCCAAAAGAGTGCATCAGTTTTCCTGGTGCTGGGAATTACAGATGGCTGTGAATCATTTGACCTGAGCACTAGGAACTGAGCTCAGGTCCTCTGAAAGAGCAGCCAGTGCTCCTAGCCATTGGGCTCGCTCTCCAGCCCCATTAAATAATGTTCAACTCCCAGCACCTATATGATGACAGCTCACAACTGTCTGTAACTCCTGTTCCAGGGGATCTGATACAGTCACACAGACAAAACACCAATGCACATAAAATAAAAGTAAAACCATTAAAATATAATATTTGAGGACTGGAGAGATGGCTTAGTGGTTAAGAGCACTGGCTGCTCTTCCAGAGGTCCTGAGTTCAATACTCAGCAACCACAAGGTGGCTCACAACCATCTGTAATGAGATCTGGTGCCCTCTTCTGGCCTGCAGACATACATGCAGGCAGAACACTACACATAATAAATAAATCTTTAAAAATATAGTATTTGAACATCAACTAACGTTTAACTAATACTTGAACATTGGCTACTATTTTTTAGTCAGGTTTTTGCTGAAAGCAGACTGCCCTACACAGTGTTGAGATGTCACCATCAGTCCAAGCTCTATTGAAACCCTTAGAAGAGGAATGTCTTAGAAATCCCAGCCCTTCCCTGCATTATACCACACCTCTTTTTGTGTCCTCACCTCTATTCAAGTTTTCCTCAGAAACCTCACAGCACTTGTGTAGAATCCTTTCTCAGTTTTTTTGTTTGTTTGTTTGTTTTGTTTTTGTTGTTGTTGTTGTTTTTTCAAGACAGGGTTTCTCTGTGTAGCTTTGGTGCCTTTCCTGGAACTCAATTGGTAGCCCAGGCTGGCCTCGAACTCACAAAGATCCACCTGCCTCTGCCTCCCGAGTGCTGGGATTAAAGGCGTGTGCCACCACTGCCCAGTTTGAATCCTTTCTCAATATGCCTCACTTGCACTGGTAATAAAGATACCATCTTCCTCCAGGACAGATCCAGGAAGTGACTGGCCTTTGCTTTCAAGTTATCAATGTACACTGGAGGATAAGGAAACTTCTTGTAAACAAGAATCAGAAAAGCCCTGTATGTGTGAAGAAGCTGGGAAGGATAACCCAGATACCACCAACCTTCATCACCAAGGATCCCCCCCAACAAGAAAATGCTATGCAGGATCAATGAGTATAGGTCAGCCTCCCTACCCCAGCCCACCAATGGACAGCAGCAGGGAGCCCACAGCACACAGAAGCCCTTCAAATGCAATGGCTGTGGAACAAGCTTCCAGAAGGTCCTCAATATCAGTCACCTGATAACTCACTCTGATCACTTGCAGGATGGGCAAGAATGTCCCCAAGGGAAACTCAACCCCAGTTAGTCACCAAAAAACCAGCCCTGGAGTAACAGCTCATGTGTAATGAATGTGAGGAGGCCTTCAGTCTGAAGAAGCACCAAACGGGAACACAGGAATAAAACCTTTCAGGTACAGTGAACGTGGGAAATCTTCAACAGCAAAGATGCACTTGCTTTGCACCAGAGGATTTACACTGGAGCAAGCCATAACAGTGCAGCAAGTGTGGGAAGCCTTCTGCACTGTCTACCCTGGTTTGGTAAGAGAATGTTCATGGTGGAGAAAGACCTTATGAGTGAAAAAAAAAAAATGTGGGAAGTGCTTTAAAGGCAGCAGCAGCAGCATCCTTCATAAAAAGAATACACACTGGAAAGAGGCCTTCTGGGTGCAAGCAGTGTGCGAGAAATAATATGTGACCCTCTCTGGCCCAGGACACAGTAGCTCACATGCTCTCTTCTTGTGGGTGTCACTCTTCAGAACATCTACAAACTCTTCTGTTAATGCCTCCCCTCCTTGTCATCTTGCTTCCAGCGTCAGCTGCCCAGAGCCATGAGCAGATCTCAGAGGCTTCCTCTACCCCTGCTTTTGCTATGTGTTATTTTCCCACAGCTGTCCTTGCTCTTCCTAACAGCCCAATTGCTCATCCACTGACTAACTAACCATGGCTTGGGTATTCAATGTAGGCTGGTCATTTCTACTTCTGCCACTTGACCAGTCTGTCCATGCTAGGCAGACCCTTTACAATTGAGACAAGGTCTTGCTAAATTACTCGTTCTGGCCTTAAACTCACTCTGTAGTTCAGGCAGACTTTGAACTCATCAGTCACCTGAGTAGGATTATACATCTATGCCACCACACTCAGCCTATGCTTCACTGTTTTTTTGTTTGATTTTTGTTTTTTTCAAGACAGAGTTCCTCTGTGTAGTTTTGGTGCCTGTCCTGGATCTCGCTCTGTAGACCAGGCTGACCTCGAACTCACAGAGAACCACCTGGCTCTGCCTCCCGAATGCTAGGATTAAACGCATGCGCCACCACTGCTGGGCGCTTCACTGTTTTATACTAGGTCTACTCTCTTTGTCAACCTATGGCTGCTTATAATGAATGTCATCCATCTTTGGATGTCTCCAGCTTGAGACACCTCAATTACAAAACTCAACGATTTTCTCCCTTACACCAACTTCCGTATTTTTCCAAAACAAGGACAAACATTGGTATCTCTTTTTCTCATAGACCCACATCAGGTAATCTAGTTGGTCCAACTCAAGCAGATTCCAAAGTCAGCTATTAATTCCACAGGCACTCCTTATTAGTCAGCAGAACCACACTACTGTATTTACGGCCTGGCTGGCCTTTCCATCTCCACCCTCACCATTCCCTCGGTGTGTTCCCAGTAGGCAGCTATAGGAAAAATCCTGTGGGTAAGTAACCAACCCTGTTGTAGAAACTCAGTCGAAACGCCCCAGCTAACTACATGTTTTTGGCTTCTGTTAAACTGCTGGTTTTCTTCCCTCTGCAAAACTGCCAACAAGACGTAGTTTTTCTATGTTCTTTGCCCTGTAAAATACATTCGAAGCTGCTCTGTGAGAAGTGTTTTTCTCTAGAAAGTCGCCAGTATGCTTAACATAGACTCTTAATTCAGACTGGTCCTGCTGGTAGTCCCCCACCCTTCCGCCTATGAGATGTCCACAATCAACAAGCCCAGTTGGGATGATCTTTTGCTTATGGGCGCAGCCGCACACCCAAAGATGGTGTCTTGTTGTTTTTGTTTTTATTCAGAAGACAGTCATCTAAAACACAGGAGGAAACCGAAAGTTTTGTATATCATTTCCATCTCCTACAAGACTCCAGGAACATGAGGTCCCGGATCTCTGGACGAAAACCTGGGCACCCTCTCCTCCCTGGCGAGTTGGGTCCATCAGCGACCAGCTCCATCGGAACCCAGGGGCTGGACAGGTCCCTACGGGTCGGTTGAATCCTCACACTTCCACAGGGCGTGGTGAGAGTGGAGGACGTCGGTCCTCAGGCTCTCGGTCTTCCTAAATTGGAAAACCACCTAAAACATCGGAGACCGGGTTCCAGGGACCACGTAAACTAAAGCCAAGCGCGGAGCCCCGGAGCCTCTTGGAGCAGGTAGCAGGGGAAGAAAGACCCAGGCTCTGGAAGGCTCACACACTAGCAGTGAGTTACGCTATGTCCCGCATTCTGTCTGTCCCTTCCAGCTCAGCACAGGGGCTGACATTGGGGACGTGCCACAGGACGCATCACGGAAATCACATGGGGACCACAAGTCCCGCCGCGTCCTCTGATGCTCTCGAGATTTGAACCAAATCTCTGAGGTTTCATTGGCTCAGGGTCCTCAAACAATGCCACACTGTTTCCCAGAAACCATCACGGCTCCGCTTGGTCGTTGCCACGGAGATCATGAAACAAAAGGCGAGATGTCGCTGGTTACGTGACATGAACTACATCACCCAGAAACCCCTTCGCTGGCCAATGAAAACACAGAAGCGCATTTCCGGGCGGGCCAGAGGGTCGCTGGGCCAATGATGGACTAGGAGTCATTTCCTGGACCGCGTCGTCGAGGAGGCGGGAGTCCGGGCGTTGGACCCGCCGCTTCGGCCGCTCTCTGCGGGGTGGGCTGTGTCACCAGGGAGTTGCGGTAAGGGGGCTTCCGGGGGTCGCGGAAGCCGGAGCGGAGAAGACACAGGCGTCAAGGTCGTTTCGCTTCTGTGACGTCGGCGCAAGTCCTTCCCCGGAGCCCCGGGGACGTTGGCCGTCGGGCCACCCACGTGCATGTCGCGGGGTCGCAGCCAACGAGCTAGCGCGTCCACCATGGCCTATGGGACTGTATCAGGGACATAAGCTCGGAGGGACTTCAAGTGTGAGGTCATTACCATCGCCCCGCCGTTCCCTGGCTGGCTTCGCCTTGCCAGTCCTTCTGACATAATGGGCGTTGTCATGACTGGGGCCTCCGAGACCTTCCCCGAGCGTTTAACGTGATACCGTTCTCCCCAGGCACACAACTGCTTAGGTGGATTTCCCTACACTGTTGTGGTCTGTCATGGGACGAACCACCTTCCCAGAGGGTCAGTCCCTGTGAATGCAAGTCAGGTGTGGAGGTGGGTTATGTTCTCTTGTCTCAACACGAGGGACAGTAGCCATACCTCCTTTTAGTCTTCCAGACCCAATTCTGACATACTGTTGTTCCCTGACTCCTGAGTTCTAACTGGTGTTCTCCAAGTACCCATCTTTCTACTTTCCCCTTTATACTTTAGGTCTGTCCTTGGCCTCCACACAACATGTCTTGAGCTGATATATCCTTAGTTACTGAACACTGGTTCTGTGGGACTATTCTCTTCCCTCTGAAAGGCCCACCGGTCTCCCATTGCACAGCACTTAATGTCTACTTGTGCTCCAGTCAGGTGGCAATGAGACCACCATGCAGAGGGGTGTTTCCATAGTGATGCCAGGAGAGCCCACACGATGACCTGCTGCCCTTGGTATTTCATCTTTTCAGAAGAGGAAGTGTCGTTACTGTGTGATGCAGTCTGCACTTTGGGGACAGCAAGCACCTGTGTATGAAATCTGTTCTTAGCACCTTTGCCTGTACAATACCCTGACAAGGGCCACTTTTACCAAGTCTTGCTTCTCCCAGTACTGTCCTCTTCCAACAGCCCTCCCTGAGTCCCTTCGCAGAACATGGTATCTTTTTACCACTGTGTCCCAGTAACTGTATTCAAGGCTGGCACCAACCATCTTCCAGTTTGTCCCTAGAAATGTGCGTCCCAGATATTCTAAGCACCTCACTCATCATTGTCTTGCCTGTCTCCTTTCCAGTAACAACCTATTGCTCTTAGAACCAGGCCCTTCCTCAGTTCCCTCAGGCTTCCTCTCCACCCAAGGCCTGCCAGGAAACCAATATCTGAAGTCACATTTCATCTCAAGGCTCACCAGGGAGCTTGTGCATAGTCAAAAAATGTGAAATGCCATCTTCTAAAAGTGATTTCACAGCATCGTCTGGCTTGAGGCTCCTCTGAAGCTTTTGAGGGGATCTATCCAGTGGCTAGTGTGTTGACTATGCCCCCTCATTCTCTCCCAAGACCAAGGCTTCATTTGCCGCTCACACTGCCTCTGAGGATGCAGGGCGTACTGCTTGATTCCTAAGTCACTGTGGAAATGAAACCCTCAGCGGGAACAGGGAAGAGCCCTCCAGGCGCCTGCCTTTAGCTTGTGCTTTTACTAGCCTAGCCTAGTCCTTTCTGCCACAGAGGTCACCCGGGTAGCAGCCCAGATTTTCAATCTCCAGGGTTTCATTTATATGCTTCCTTACGCTAGAGATGACTGACGCTGAATTTTGTGGCTAATGCCGTGGTGTCAGAACTGAAGAGAAGGTACCAGAACAAGGAATGGAAACTGGAGAAACGGAGGTAACTTGGACATCATCGTCCACCTGCAGCTGCTGGGCTTAACGTCTAGAGACAAGACGATCTTCCGTCCTATCTGAGGAGCTCAGGGATAATTCTGCTCTGAGCCCTGCATCTCTGGTAGGTGAAGGGGTGGCTGACATCATGGGAACAGTTTCAGATAGAGAACTCTCTTACTTGCAGATGACACAAACCTTAATCAAAATAGCATCAACAAAAACCATTATCAGTGGTGAAAGAAATCAAAACTCTTCAGCATTTGGCTTCAGGTACTAAATTGATTTGGGCTCGTCGTGTCCTAGCAAAAGGCTTTCTCTGAGCTAGACGCTATGCAGTGTGCCTGTAATGACAGTACACAGAAGGACTGCGGATTTGAGGCCAGACGTGACTACCTCGCAAGTACAAGGTCAGCCTGGCGCTACATGGCAAGAGCTTGCCTTAACCAATAACCCCCACAAAAGTCTCTGTCTTTTACTCAACACTGCTTTCTTCAATGGCAGCTGATTGACAGGCCTCCCTTTAGAGTCAAGATGGACGGTCAACAGACTAATTTGTACTGGCTCAGAGCCATGGGAGCTTGGTTTGGGATACTCTGACACACACACACACACCACACACACACACACACACACACACACACACACACACACACACACACACACGCACACACAGCAGGCCAGTTACCTTACATATAGACTTGTTGAGGAAATCAGAAAGCTAGCTCAAGTCCAGGACCCTTTTCCAATAGGGTAGAGTTTGCTTCACAAGATCTGCCCATAGCTGCCAGGATACAAGAGATCGAGCTCTGATGACCATTATCTGTTCTACTCTGAGGCTGACACAGCTGGACTTTAGCTCCACTTTCAAGTATCGCTTCTCATTCTACTTGGTGGAGGACAGTTATTACACCCAGAAGGAGTGGCCTGGAGTTAGTATATGCACTGATATCTTGGGATGCTCAGGAGAAGTTATGCAGACATGCCTCATGCTCACTGATGCTTTCCTTTGAGTGGTTTGTCTCATGCTTCGGGGTCTGGGAAGAAGAGAGACATCACAAGCGGAGCTACACATTGTGAGTAAATATTGTAGGCCAACACTTTCTTCATGCCTGGAGACCCCCAAGCTCCCTCTTGCCTGATTTTCTTCACGTTTTTGTTGGGCCAGGAACACTTGTGATGTATAGATCTGGGTGGAACATTAAAGGATTCTACAAACCTTTAGATTTTTTGCTCTGTTTTGCACTGCTATTATTATTATTAGTGTTCTTGTTCTAAAAAAAATGGAGGTTCAGGATGGTCTATAAGATTTATCTCTTGTGGTCAAGGTCACCATCAGGGCAAATTTAATAAGCACTGAAAATGAGGTCATAGTTAAATGGGGTGGTGAATGCTTATAGTCCCAGCATAGGAAGGTGGAGGCAGGAAGATAAGAAGTTTGGGGCCAGTCTGGGCTACATAAGAGACCATTTCTCACCGGGTGGTGGTGGCGCACACCTTTAATCCCAGCACTCGGGAGGCAGAGGCAGGCAGATCTCTGTGAGTTCGAGGCCAGCCTGATCTCCAAAGCAAGTTCCAGGAAAGGTGCAAAGAGAAACCCTGTCTCGAAAAAAGAGAAAGAGAGAGACCATCTCTCAAAAAAGAAAAACAAAACAAAAATCAGGTCTTTTGTTTTCCAAAGAGCTGCTGTTTGATTTTTTTAAAAATTGTGTTATAAATTCCCACACTGCAAAAAAGAGATTCCCCCATTGTTTTTTCCCAGCTACCTATCTGATGTCACCAAATGTAGATTTGAATATAACCAGCTCTTGTAAGCCCGTATAATGTGATTCAGGCATCTCATTAGTTAATTGCTTGCATTTGCCACGGTCTCCCTCTCTCTCTCTGACCTCAAATCCACTGTTTCTGTACCCACCTATGACTCCCACCTGGCTACTGTAAATCTTATAGCCAGTGACACTTGACTATAGACTCTGGTCTTCAGAGGCTTTATTTATGGGTAGGACCAGGAGATAGAGGGCCTCTCAACAGCGCCGTAGGAATTCTTGAGAACAAAGGGACCAGCTCCTGCTGCCCTTGGGTATATTGGGGATTACCACTCCACCATCCAGTTTCCAAAGCTTTAGACTCAAGAGGTCCTGGACATATGGGACACAGTGACCTTCAGTCCATCCCCCAGACTTTGAGCATCAAGGAAATCCAGGCTAACATGAACTGGGCGCTGCTGCTTGTCATCTTACTGTCGCCTGTGAGGTAAATGAAGCCTCTCCTCCTGAGCCCTTCCATCTTTACACTGTTGGAGCCCAATTACCCTTTCAGTTCCTGCCCACAGAGGGTGATCCCTGAAATGAAAAGATGACTATAACATGAAGACTTTTCTTATTCTTTCTGAAGGCAGCTGGGTCCCAAGGTCGAATCACTTGCAGGCTGGACAAATCTGCACGAGACTCAAGAACCAAGGTGGAAAATCTCTGGATGTCATCAGTGGATTCCAGTTCAGATCCTCTTGGACAGACCTAGGTCAGGGAAGAGCCTGAACCACTGCAGATGGGGATAAGTGGGAACTGAGGTGACCCAAAGGGTTCCCTTCACTTACTCCAGAACGGAGAGCACAGAGGTCTGCTTTCCCTAAGTATGGGAGGCACACACTGTCTGTCCTTCCAGGTAAGATGGCATCTGGCAGTGACATAATCTGACAAAGCACCTAGACAGAAAAGGAAGTGTAAAATAGCTCCCCAAAGCTCCCCACATTCTTGGCACTCTCCCCTGAGGGATGCTGGGATGTGTGTTTCAGTTTGCGTTGCTATAATCTGATGACTTCCTTAGAGATTCTTCTGACTTAAGGTTTCTCATGAGTGAGTCCTTTTACAGTGAAGCAGAAGAAAGGCTCCAGCTGAGTGCATTCCGACACTGGCCACCTTTCCAGTGTGATGATTCCGGTGCTGAGAGAAACTGCAGCTTTGACTGAAGGTGTTCCTAAGTCCGATGCACTTGGAAAGCTAGTCTCTAGCATGTCTTTCCTGGTGCTTGGATAGGGGTAGAGCCATAGCAGAAAACTTTTCCACATTTGCTACAATGGCTAGGCTTTTCTGCTGTGTGGATTCTCTGGTGCTGACTGAGGATGGAGCTTTCACTAAAGACTTCCCCACACCAGCCACACTCAAGGCCTTTTTCCAGTGTGAACTTTCTGGTGCTGAGCAAGGTTAGAGCTATAGCTGAATGCTTTCCTGCATTCACTGCATTAGTAAGGCCTCTCTCTACTGTAAACGTTCTGGTGCTGAATGAGGGCAGAGATTGGCTGAAGGCTTTTCTATTTTCTGAGCATTCACAGGGTTTTTCTCCAGTATGCATTCACTGGTGTGGAGCAAGGTTAGGGAACCTGCTGAAGACTTTCCCACAGTGGTTGAAGTTATCAATCAGGTCTTTCTCCAGAGCAGCTCCTTTGAGGCAGAACAAGCTTGGAGGTTTGTCAAAAGGCTTTCCCACATTCACTCCACTCAAGAGGACTTTCTGTGTTAGGAACTTTCTGGTGACAGACATGGTGGGAGCTGTTTATGAAGGTTTTCCTACACTTCGCATTGTAAGGCCTTTCTCCAGTGTGTATTTTCTGCTGCTCAACCAAATTGGAAATGTAGAGCTGGGCGGCGGTGGTGGTGTTGGACCCCAAAGTTTAGGGTCTCAAGTAGGCACCCCAAGAACCCAGACTCCAGTCCAGTTGATGCAATAGCAGGAGGATTTATTAAGCTTCTATATAGAAGGACAAACTCTGCTCCTAAGAGCAAGGGCAGCATCTTACTGCAGCCCCATGAGGGCTTTTAAGGGAAAAACCCACAAAACCCACAAGATTACAATTCCCATACAATTTCGTTTCACAAGATCATGGTCTGGGTACAGAGTGATCACAGAGGGGGTACAGTTATGTCAACAGGTACATTCTTCCTGAAACCTCAAGGAGGATATCAGGGCAGGAGTGGAGTTTACACAAAGGTCACGGTGGTCCTTCCTGGAACATTTGCAACTATCCCAGTCACAGTTGAGCACATTTCTTAATAGAAATCTCTTTACATTGTTATATGGTTGCAGGGGAGATTGAACAATGGCTAAGTCAGGTTGCCCTTGGAATTAGATTTTTAGTTTCCCATTTCCTGGTGCTTGAAGTTTCTCTTTTCCTGAGGCTTGGGGGTGTAAGCCTGAAGGGCTAGGGTCTTTCAGTGGTGCACACCTTTAATCCCAGCACTTGGGAGGCAGAGCCAAGTGGACCTCTGTGAGTTCGATGCCAGCCTGGTCTACAAAGCGAGTTCCAGGACAGGCTCCAAAGCTACAGAGAAACCCTGTCTCGAAAAACAAAAAACAAAAAACAAACAAACAAAAAATTGGAAATGCAACTAAAGACTCTCCTGTACCAGTTGCATTGTGAACTTTTTTTTTTTTTTTTTTTTTTTTAACATTGTGAACTTTCTGAGGCCAAACAACCTGGAAGCTTCAAGCAAAGGCTTTCTTACACTGGCCACACTCATACTTTCTCTGCTGTGAATTTTCTGGTGCTGAACCATTGAGTGCTTTTGGGTGAAAGCTCTTCTTCTTCTTCTCCTCCTCCTCCTCCTCCTCCTCCTTCTTCTTCTTCTTTGGTTTTTTGAGACAGGATTTCTCTGTGTAGCTTTGGAGCCTGTCCTAGAACTCACAGAAATTTGCCTGTCTCTACCCCCAAGTGCTGGGATTAAAGGCGTGCATCACTACTGCCTGGCGGGTGAAAGTTTTTCCACCTTCACTACAAGTAAGATGTGACATTTCAGTATGATCCTTCTGATGTGACCTTATTTAAATAAGTGGCTGAAGATCTTCCCACATTTCTTACACACATGAAATGTCTTACACACATGAAATGATTTTGCAGTGTGATATTTGTTGGCATTTCCCATGAAGCCATTCCCACCTTTTTGGCATCTGAAGTGTCTTCACAGTGTCTTGTCAGATGGTCAAGGAAAGCAAAGACCACCTGGAAGCTGTTGTCGGTTGTTTCTGCTCTTTGTGGGGCCTGCCACCCAGCTCCCAAATAAATCACACACAGAGGCTTGTTATTATAAATGCCCAGCCTACAGGCTGGAGAGAGGACTCAGAGGTTAAGAGCACCGAATTCTCTTCCAAAGGTCCTGAGTTCAATTCCCAGCACCCACATGGTGGCTCACAACCATCTATAATGAGATCTGGCTCCCTCTTCTGGCCTACAGGCATACATGCAAACAGAACACTGTATGCATAATAAATAAATCTTTATAAATAAATAAATAAAAATAAATAAATAAATGCCCAGCCTTAGCTTGGCTTGTTTCTTGCCAGCTTTCCTTAAATTATCCTGTCTACCTTTTGTCTCTGGTCTTTTCCTGTTCTCTTTTTCTGTATATTTTTCTTACTCCGTTGCTGGTTATGTAGCTGGGTGGCTGGCCCCCGATGGTCCTCCTCCTCTGGATACTTTTTTCCTTCTTTCCTCCCAGATTTCTCCTTCTATATATTCTCTCTGCCGCCGGCCCCGCCTATCCTTTCTCCTGCCTCATTATTGGCCGTTCAGCTCTTTATTAAACCATCAGGTATTTTAGACAGCCACAGTAACACAGCTTCACAGAGTTAAACAAATGCAACAAAAACAAAAGTAACACCTTTATTAACAATAATAATAATATTCTACAACAGGAAGCATGTTCCACAGACACTGCATTTGAAAGGCTTCTGTGCACCACAACTCCCTGCGGTTCCTTGTGGCGAGACCAAGGTGGGAAGGCAGGCCTGTGCTCAGTGTTCTCTTTACTGGGGATGACCCGCTGGGAATCAGGGCTTTCCAAGATGACTTTTTTGGTTTTTCAAGACAGGGTTTCTCTGCATAACTGTCATGGCTCTCCTGGAACTCTCTGTGTAGATCAGGCTGACCGAAAACTCAGAGCTCCACCTGCTTCTGCCTCTCAAATGCTGGGATTAAAGGCAAGTGCCACTACTTCCCAGCATATGATGGATTTCTTTCCTTTCTTTTTTTTTAAGATTTATTTATTTATTATGTATATGTGTTCTGTCTGCATGTATGCCTGTAGGCCAGAGCTCATTACAGAGGTTTGTGAGCCACCATGTGGTTGCTGGGAATTGAACTCAGGACCTCTGGAAGAGCAACCAGATGCTCTTTTTTTTTTTTTAAAGATTTATTTATTTATTGTGTTTACAGCATGTATGACTGCAGGCCAGAAGAGGGCACCAGATCTCATTACAGATGGTTCTGAGCCACCATGTGGTTGCTGGGAATTGAACTCAGGACCTCTGGAAGAGCAGTCGGTGCTCTTAACCTCTGAGCCATCTCTCCAGCCCCAGCCAGATGCTCTTAACCATTGAGCAATCTCTCCAGCCCCACATGATGGGTTTCTTAGCACTATGCTTTTTCTTTTACCAATGAAAGTTCACACTGATCCAGAAGCTTCTGCCACATGTGCCACAAGTGTATGGCTTCTGTTGAAGTTGTGTTCCCTTACATTCAGCAACATTTAAACTGTTTTTCAAGACTTGGCTGCACATAACACAGGCATAGGCCTTCCAGCTTGTCTTTTTTTTTTTTTTTAAGATTATTTATTTTTTATTTTTATTTTATTTATTTATTTATTATGTATACAGTGTTCTGCCTGCATGTGTCCTTGCAGGCCAGAAGAGGGCACCAGATCTCCTTACAGGCGGTTGTGAGGCACCATGTGGTTTCTGGGAAATTGAACTCAGGACCTCTCGAAGAGCAATCAGTGCTCTTAACCACTGAGCCATCTCTCCAGTCCCTTAAGATTATTTATTATGTGTACAGTGTTCTGCCTTCCTGCACATATCCCTGCAGGCCAGAAGGGGGCACCAGATATCATTACAGATGGTTGTGAGCCACCATGTGGTGACTGGGAATTGAACTCAAGACCTCTGGAAGAAGAGCCAGTGCTCTTAACCTCTGAGCCAGCTCTCCAGCTCTCCAGCCTGTCTTATAGGTCCCAAACTGAAACACTTCTACAAAAACAACCTGTTCAGGAAAGGCTTTCTCCACTCCATGCCAGCAACCTGAAAGAATATATGCACCAGGAAAGCATCTGTGGGGGCTTTGTTGGAAATGGACAGCCTAGTTTTGTTTGTTTTATTTGAGACAGTCTCTCATCTGTACTCCAGGTAAATCTTCATCTAGCAGTGATTCTCCTGCCTTTCTCCAAAGTTCTTGGGTTATAGGTGTGCATCATCACTGAGCTTGTGGGCAGCCTCTTTACAAGCACCTATCCAGCCAGGTGTAGGGGCATATACCTTTAATCCCAGTACTCCGGAGGCTGGGGCAGGCAAATCTCTGTGAGTTCAAGGCTAGCGTGGTCTCTGAGTGTTTCAGGCCAGCCAAGATTACATAATGAGAACATGTCTCAAAAAAATAAGCAAACATGCCAGGCAGTGGTGGTGCACTCTTTTAATCCCAGCACTCTGGAGATAGAGACAGGCAGATCTCTGTGAGTTGGAGGCCAGCCTGGTCT